TAATAATAATAATAATAATAATAATAATAATAATAATAATAATAATAATAATAATATAGGAAATACTCTAAAAGCTCTGAGGGTCATTTGGACAAATCTTTTCTTCGTGAGCCAGTAGAAGCCAAGAGGAACCTACGGGCCAAATTTCAAGCTTGTAGGCCTTACAGTTCTGGAGGTTTTGTGATGATGCACGAGGGGTCTTTCGCTTTTTTATATAGAGATTTTTTATTGTCATTTTTTTTTCCTGTGGGCACATTGGCACACAGAAATTTTGTTGCTTGCTCTCAAAAGTGTACACATACATAACCTACATACAGATACAGCATGCTAAATACATACCTACATACCTACATATTCAGGTAACATTTCCATTGCTCACATAATTCCCCCCTAACAATTCCCCGATAATATATTTAGATTAGATATTAGATTAACAGAGTTGGAAGGGACCCTGTAGGTCATATAGTCCAACCCCCCCCCCCCCAAAGCAAGAGGCCCTACACCATTTCTGACAGGTAACAAGTTTGTAGGCTTTACGGTTCTGGAGATTTTGTGATGATGCATGAGGGGAATTTTGCTTTTATATAGGGAGATTCTGCCATAAGCGGTCAGAAACGATGCAGAAAAGGAAACCAGCAAATATTCTTCTAAACGGTTTTCAAGAGAACGCAACACCTGTATTTTGCAGGGGAAAGTGTTTGTTTCTGAGGAAAAATCCTTGACTCACAACCACAATTGAGCCCCAAACGTCCGTCACTAAGCAAGACCTGTTGTCAAGGGAGTTTCGCCCTGTTTTACGACCTTTCTTGCCTTCAGTTGTTAAGTGAATCGCTGCAGGTGGGAAGTCAGTAACAGGGTCTTTAAGTGAATTTGGCTTCGCTTGTCAAAAGGTCGCAAAACGTGAACCCGGGATACGGCAACGGTCATAAGTACGAGTCAATTGACAAGTCTTCAGATTTGGCCCGTTGTTAAGTGGGAAAAATGCTCATACCTGCCTTTCGAACGGTCACTAAATGAACGCTTGTAACAGGTAGTCCTTGACTTAACACAGCTCATTTAGTGACCGTTCAAAAGTTACAACAGCAATGAAAAAAATGAGACTTATGACCATTTTTCACACTTACGACAGTTGCAGCATTCCCGTATGATCATAATTCAGACGCTTGGCAAACTGATTCGTACTTACGACCATTACTGGGTCCCAAGGTCATGTGATTCCCCCTTTTGTGACCTTCTGGACAAGTTAAATCAACGAGGAAAGCTGGATTCGCTTAACACCGGTTTACCAACTTATTAACTGCACTGATTCACTTAATGACTGTGGCAAGGAAGGTCATAGAAGGGAGCAAAGCTCAGAGTTAATGAGTGTCTCACTTAACAAGAGGAATTTTGGGCTCTCTTGCGGTCGTAAGCCGAGGATCGTATGTCAGGAGCTAAAACAGAGCAGAATTTTCCAACTTTTGTCATTTTAATGTGAGAGATAATCAGAGTTGGAAGGGACCTTGGAGGTCATCTAGTCCAACCTCCCCCGCCCAAGCAGGAGACCCTACACCATTTCAGACAAATGGTAGTCCAATCTCTTCTTGAAAGCCTCAAGTGATGACGCTCCCACAACTTCCATGGGCAAAGCTGTTCCATGGGTTGATTGTATATGGATTTCAACTTCCCAGAATAGCCCAGACAGCATTAATGTATTTTATTGCCATTGCCATTTAAATGTGGCGGCTTCTGGTGCTAATATGGCTTCCAAAGCTGACAATTAAATTATTAAATTTGTTGTTATTAAACCATCGGTCAAACACTGAGAGAGAATCCCCTGGGAACCTTGGCTGGCTGAGGAATTCTGGGAGTTGAAGTCCACGAGCCATTAAGGAGTCAAATTTGGAGGCCTCAAACAAAGAGGAAATAGTCCACACGACTGGATGTGAGAGGGAAGAGAACACACAATCACACACAGGCACACAAAACACAATCTCCAGTGCCTTATTCTCATTAAGAGCCCAAAGTTATTTTTTTTCCTTCTTTTTTTCCTCTAGATTTTATTTAGATACAAAAAACAAGGGGCCTGGGAGTTATCTCCGTGACAAATCCATTCAGGGCCAGCTCAGTTAATTATCTTAACGAAGCCCCATTCTTTGCGGTGCTGAGGATAATGCAAAATCGGTCATTAAGTGTTTATTAGGCCAACACTTCATCCTGGCTACCTTATTTGAAAGAGCCGATTAAAAATAATTCAAATTTGGAGAGAGCGGAGCTGGCGTCGCGACGATACGGCATGCGATCTTGGAGGCCCGAGATCGCTGCCGATATCTTTGCTCCTGGACGGTCCTATCGGATCTAAACCGTCCCGAAGAGACGGCGAAAGTAAAGACCGCATCCTGTCGATCCCAGGGAATACCGCAAAGTCCCCGGTAGATCCAGGAGAAGCTCTTCTTGCCAGCGGCAAAGAGGCAGCCGTCAAAGCTGCTGAAGTCGGGACAGCTCCGAAACGAAAGAGAACGGAAAGAGAGAGTGTGCCGGTTTGGTGAGAACTTTTTTATTTTTATTTTAAGATCTGAAAAAAGGACACCCTAAGGAAAAGAAAGAATCTGTAAAAGTTTTGACAGAAGGGATTAAGCGGCGATTTTAAACAGGAATGTCAAAGTAATGTTTTGTTTTATTTTGCTCATTGCTGGATTTTCTATATACGATCTTGTATTTTGAAACTGGACTGGTTTTTTCATTTATATTTAATTTTTTCTTCTCCTTTTTGATATTGTAATATTTTAGGCTAGAGGCTCCCTTTAGTTATTTCATTTTTTAAAAAATATCTTTTCTTTTTTTTATTAATTCTTATTATATCCTGCTTGGAAAAGGAGGGGGTGTTACAAATAAACTTAGCAACGCTGCCAATTAGAAGCTTTAAAATATTCTATTTCCCTGTGACCAGACAAAGCTGAGAAAGAAAGAACTGAGACTCTTTTTCAAGGACATTGCTATTTGATAAGATAGAGGGGAAAGCATGGGAGAGTATTATTGCAGGTGCTCTTCTGGGTTTCTATCAACAGCTGGAGTCTGGTGTTGAAACGTAGGGCGAACAAAGGTGATTAAGTTTTTGGAGAAGAGAGTTATAATAAGAGCCTTGGATAATCAAACGAAGTGCAGTGTCCCCTTTTTACTTTTCCTAAGTTGTGCTATCCCTCCTCACCAGCTTTATTGTATTTTTTTATCTTTTTTTTTGCAATAACTATTTGGGTTTTTTGGCTTTGTTGGAGCTTGTCTTTGTTTTTCTTTTTTTCTTTGGAAGTCCAATCTCTATGTTTGCTTTTTATTTTACTTTATTTGACCCATTTTGTGTTTAATTATATCCATTTTTAGCTTGATGTCCTTTTTCTGTGGCATTTTCTGTCGCTCTTTTTCAAGTCTTTTATGCTCATCCTCTAGGGCCTTAGAGGCTAGCCTTTTCATAGTATTTAAAATGGTAGATGAAATAAACTTAAAAGATACACGGAGAGAAAGAAATGCTAAAACTAAACAATACACCTTCTATTCAAACAGACGCTCATCATCGTCCAGAATAGATATGATATGGATGTCAACAGAATTAATAACTAACATTCAAGAAATAAATATTGAAACAACTACTTGGGCAGATCACAATCCAATGACAATCAAATGGAAAGGACAAAAAAGAAGATCTAGATGGACGTTAAATAATACTATTTTAAAGGAAAAAGACTTCACACAGTGGATGGAGAAAGAATTGGCTTTTTTCTTTAGAGAAAACAAAAAAGAAGATACATCAATGCAGAATGCATGGGATATAATGAAGGCATACGTTAGAGGCTTGATAATAGACTATACAAGGAAAAGGAATACTATGAAAAGGCTGGCCTCTAAGGCCCTAGAGGATGAGCATAAAAGACTTGAAAAAGAACTACAGAAAATGCCACGGAAAAAGGACAACAAGCTAAAAATGGATATAATTAAACACAAAATGGGTCAAGTAGAAAAAGAAGAATTAGCACAGAAAATTAGAGGTGCTAAACAGAACTACTTTGAAGACGCAAACAAACCAGGTAGATGGTTAGCATACAAATTGAGAAAGGAGAAAGAATCAAGGAAAATATTGCAATTAATAGATGACCAAGGCCAAGTTTGCCATGGTAGCAAAGAGAAGAAGGAAATCATTCGAGACTTCTATGGAAAATTATATATGCAAGAGAATATTGATGAGGAAAGAGTTAAACAGTACTTACAGAATGCTAATTCACCTCAGATACCTAAAGAGACTGAAAAAATATTAGAAAGCAATATAACGATGATGGAGTTAACTGAAGCACTCAAGAAGCAAAATAATGGAAAGGCACCAGGTCCAGATGGACTTCCGGCAGAATTTTATAAAACATTACAAGAATCGTTGAACCTTCCATTGCTAGAAGCTATGAATGAAGTTATGTTAAAGAAGAAGATACCTAA